TGATAGCGGGCCTGACGTGTGGCCCTGCTCCAGGAGGGCTGCCCGGTCTTGGAACGACTTTTGAAATGCATGACAGAAGGCACATTGCACTGGGAGTGTTAGTGGAACACACTGGGTGCAGGAAGAGAGCGGCGGGCTGCTTCTCTGGGCAGTTGGACCGACTAAGTAAAGGGTGGCCATCCCGCTTAGGAGCAGCAGCAGCACTGGTATTGCTCGCACAGGAGGCGTGACGCCAGACTTTGGGACAGAGAAGAGTGGCTCACGCGCTCGATGGGCTGCGTCACCCCAAGCCTGGCAGCATCCCCAGAGCAGCAGCAGCCCTCAGACCTGAGGCACTGCCCGAATGCAGGAGGAAAGCCTGGGTCCCGGCCCACCACACAGCCGGCAGCAGCCGCAGGTCTGCCCGCATTTACCAAATGCAGCAGCATCCCCAAGATGGCAGAAAAACACCCCCAGAACGGGGCTGCAGCTGCCAGCCTGGCCTCCGCCACGTTGTGCGTTGGAAACGTTGCGCCTGCTGCAGTCGGGGCCAGAACCCAGCTCAGCCTGAACCGGGCTGGGGGCAGGAAGGAATGGGTTGGGTGCTGGGGAGAAGAGATGCCTGTGGTTGCAGCCCCTAAAGCTGCCCAGCTCGGGAAAGGCAGAGAAGAACCAAACTGACAGTGGCATGATGGAACTGTCACTTTTATTGATGGATTGTGGTGACTTTACATAGCAATTGGAGCTGGCACACGGCTGCTCCTATGGCATCAGTGGGGCAGGCAGTTGATGTTCCGGGCCTGACGTGGAACCCGGGAGCGGCTTCGCCCCTGGGCTGGCCTTCACCGCCTGGACCGGCTCCTGCGGCGACTGCAGCCGACTGCTCAGGAGTGCCTCGAGGACCGAGATGTCCCTTGGCTGGCAGAGGTCGGGGTGCTGCTTTTGGTACTTGGGGCTGCAGCACAGCTGCTCGCATAGCATCCTTGGAGCTCGTTGCATGCATCGTCAACGCGATGTAAACGTGAGCACATTCTCTTCCATTTTATCCTGCGCTGGCTGGACAGGCCTCTGCTCTCAGGCACCTTGGAACTGTGAGCCGACCCCGATGGTGCCTGGCTGGTGATGCTGGAGCTGCTGCTCGTCTGCGATGTCACAGGGCCTTGGAGAGGCCCGTGTCCCTGTTGGGTGTCAGTGCTGGGGCCAGCGCTGTCCACAGTGCTGCTGGAGGCTGTAAGGGAAGGCAGGAAGATGAGTGGGATGGAACTCCAGCCCTGGGGTGGGACAGACTCCCATCGCTCCTGGGCCAAAGGGACTGGAGCAAGATCTCGCCTTGCCCCAGCCCAGCAGCACGGGGCTGTTTGTCTCTTACAGGTGCCCTCTCCAGCACAGGCGTTGCACTCCCAGGCCTTTGTGCTCAGGCTCAAGTAGGAACAGCGCCGATGGGTGCCTCGCGCAGCACAGGAGCTGCAGACGAGCAGCTGCCAGGGCCTGGGGAAAACAACAGGATGTGGCCGTGAGGACAAAGTGAGCTGAGCCAGGGAGCGCCCGGCACGGCTCTGGTGCTCAGTTTATGCTCTCCCAGCCCGTGGTGAGGCTGCGATCCCACGCCGAGCCCCAGAGGGCTGCTGAGGGAACTCACCCCTCTCCTGCTCGGTCCCTGCCGTGGGGGTAACGGCACTCCCTGGCATCGCAGCGCTTGTGCTTGTCTGCCTCTTGTACGTATGAATTGTTGTCCCATATTGGTCCTCTGCCAGAGAAAGGAAGAAATCTGATGAGCAACCAGTGCCTCTGTAGTAAGACGGACCCAGGCCGTTCCTGCTCTTCCAGCCCAACACCGTTTCCAGCTTCTCCATGAAGCTGAGGCCAACGCTCATGGGCGGCAAAGATCCAGGCCTGCTTGGGCCATCCCTGGGCAGGCACAGCTCTTGTGCACTCAGGCCTGGAGAACCAGGAATGGGGTACCAACCTGGATGGGATACGGATCCCCATGGCGTTCATATAGTCAAAAAATTCCTCCTCGTCTTTGCAGTGTGGACAATGCAAAGTAATGCCCGCACACAGGGCCCGTCTCTGCAGCAGAAACAGAACAGGGTGAGTGTGAGCCAGGCCTGGTGCTGCTGAGCACCTGCCGTGCTCATGGGGTGAGGAGAGGGCTCCCACCTGGATGCAAGCCCGGTGGAACCAGGCGTTTTGGCAGGCCGGGCACACCATGGTGCTGTAGGACACGCTGTCCCCCACGGGGTCCATGCAGATGATGCAGGTCGTGTCCTGCGCCAGCGCTGCCTTCAGTGCCTGCTGTGGGCAATGCTCCGTGCAGAAGGACCTGGGGGAAGATGGGAGGGACGGGCAAGGTGAGAAGTGCTGCGAGGAGGGCAGAGGAACGGGAAGGAGCCCCAGGCCTTGGCTCTGGCTCTGCCAGGCTGCTGGGAGGCGTCACGGCGCGCTCCTCGCTTCTTTGGCTGGTGCTGAAGCAGGGCTTGGAGGCTCGCAGGCGATGCCTGGCAGCCCTTACCTGTACTCTCCAAAGTACTGGGTGACGCATTCACCCTTGGAAGCGCAGGAGAGATGGAAGCTGCGGTCGCAGCCCGGCTCTGCGCAGGTGATGAAGGCCCCCAGATTGCCACAGACGAAGCAGAGCTGTAAAGAGCAGAGCATTTCCCATCAGCTGCAGGCTCAGGGCCTACGCAGCGGGCCCCGCACGTCTGTGCAGGGCACGGGATGGGGGCAGGGCTGGCTGACACTCTGCAGAGCTGCCTGCTGAACAGGGCTGGTCTGCAAGAGCAGGGATTTCTCTTGGGGCTGGCTGGAAGGGCCGGGATTGTGTTCTTGAGACCGGGCAAAGCTCAGCCGTGCCTCCGCTGGCACCAAGCTCCCTGTTCCGGTGCGGTGCTCACCGTCTGCTCTGCCTGCACGATTGTGCGTATAATCTCAACCCTGCTTAAATCATCATTTCTCTTCTGTCTTGCTGCTCCTTGAAGAAGGCCACCCACAAACAGCTGTATGGGAAAAGAGCACGATCTTGTTATGGCAGAAAGGAGGGAACCATTGTTTGGAGGATGGTGGAAGGAGCCGTGAAGGAACTCACTGCACAAAACTGGTGGAAATAGATCCCACTGATGATCAGTTTGCGCCCATAGATGTCTTTGTCAGCATCTCCCTGACCACAGAGCACGCAAGCTGGAGAGGAGAGAGGAACAGCAGTGAGCGCCTTGCGGGGCCAGGTGCCCCCGGGGTCTGTCCCAGGGGCTGCTGTGTGCCAGCTGTGCCAGCTGAGGGGCTGGCCAGAGGCCACGGAGGGGAAGGGACACTGCAGGCCCAGCAGTGCCAGCAGGCGGCCACAGCCCAACCACGGCATCCCTCTGCCCAGTGGTGGGGAGCTGTGCGCAGCGATATTTACTTTCACCCATCTGCCATGAGCTGGCAGGCTTCTTTGTCCCCTTGGACATCATGTGCATCAACGGCGAGCACTCGCAGAGTGTCTGTCCCAGCAAAACCAGGCTTTCTCCTCCGCGTGACAACCTAGGGGAGAAGCGGGACGAGGCTGAGTTCTCAGCTCCGGCCCCGAGCGCTGGGGAACCCTCCTCCCTGGGCAGCCTCAGGCAGCCCCTTCCTCCCTGCTCACCTCACCAAGTCGCACTGAGCTCGGCCTGGGCCCCGCAGCCTTGGCTCTGTTCCGCACCCCGCAGGTCACAATGGCCGTTCCGTGCCACCCTCTGTGATGCCATCACACCCCACCGGGGCTGAGGGCACCCAGGCAGCAGGGCGGAGGCTCTTGCAGCCAGCGCAGGGTGAGGGGCCCGGTGCCGGACGCAGCCCCGCTGGAACCCGGCGTGTTGGTGCTGCTGAAGGCACTGGGCGACACGTCCACCCTCCTGGCCCCACCTGAGTGCTGCAGGGCCTGTGGCTCCAGCAGTGTCCCAATCAAGCGTTCTGCTGTTCCCGTGACTTTTTGTTGCTTGCTGCTCATTACCTCTCGCTACAATAAATGACTCGATGCACAGAATCACAGTGTCCCTGTGGTTGGCAAAGACCTCTAAGATCACCAAGATCAGCAGTGGTGAGGTGTGTGTGTGCTGTAATACAAATGAGTACTGCTTGTGTGAGGTTTCTTCTCTGAGTGCTGCAGGGCAAAAACAGCGTGGCTGCCCACCACAACAGTGAGGCTGAGGTGGAGATGCACAGGGGTGAGCCATGACCTCCTGGGATGATAGGTGCACCCAAATACACTCAGGTCACCTAAACCTTCAGGTTTTGGGCTCAGGGTCTCCTTTTTCATTATAGAATCCTTGTCCATCAGGGCTCTGAGCCTCTGTCTTGGATCCAAAGATGTCACTATATTGTTTACATGCTCCTTTGGATGTCCCAGGCTGTCATCTTCATGGTACAGTGTCTTAGTTTTAGTTTTAAGACCCACCATTTCATTTTAAGATGTAGAACCACATTCTGAGGCTCCCAGTGCTTTCCTCAAGAAGAAAACTCCTTTTTTTTTTTTTTTTTTTTGTTTGTTTTGTTTTCTGAGCTCCCAAATCCTCCTCCTAGGAGCCTGAAGTTTAGGGCCAAAAGCCTCCTTTCAGAGAACCAAACACCCAATTTTAGGGATCAAAGCATCATTTGGGGGATCCGCCCCGAGGTGGAGAGTCCAGATACCCGGTTCTAAGGGCTAAGGCTACACGTTGAGGTGCAGACCATAGTACCTGAGGCACAAAGCCTCTTCTCAGTCTCCAAATAGCTTTTTTTGCAGACCCAAAGGCACGGTTGTAGTGCTCTGAGCCTCTTCTGTAGTGCCCAGTGTCTCTCCTGTAAGACCAAATCTGCTGCTTTGAGTTCAGAGAACCATTCTCGGTTCTCATTCTCTTCAGACCCAGCATGTCCTAAGTGGCCTCAAGCCCCCTTTTTGAGGGCCTGAAGTTGCATGTTGGGGGCCAAAGCCTGATTTTTAAGGCTCAAAGTCTCTCTTGGGGATCAAACTGCCATTTTGAGAGCTCAAAGCATCACTCTGGGGCATCCAAAGCTGTTGTTTTATTGCCTAAACCTCCATCTCTGTTTTTAACGGTCAAAGCCTGATTTGCACAACCCTGAGCTTCAGGCTCACGTACTGAGCCAGCGCAGGAGAAGATGCACAAGGAGCAGAGCTGAGCAGCAGATGGGAGGAGATGCACGAGGAGCAGAGCTGAGCAGGAGATGCGTAAGGAGCAGGGCTGAGCAGAGGGCAGGAGGAGATGCCAGGAAATTTCCAGGGCGCTCAGCTGTCTGCCTGTGAGGAGCGCCACCAGTGCCACACACTGTGGAGCCTGGAGAAAAGCTGCCAAAAGCCGAAGCCTGACGGTGGTGGTGGCCCTGTCTCTCTCAGGATCCATGCCGTCTGAAGGGACTGCAAAGATATGGATCCACTGGGGTCTCGCAGCACATTGTGAAGGCCTGAGACAACAGAGGAACAGAGGCGCTATGATAGCCATGTATTTGCAGGACGCCCAGCTCTCCTCACCAGCAGAAGGGAGCAGGGGACAGGCATGTCACCTGCCGGCTGCCCCAACATCCCACTCCCTGGCTCACCCTGGTAGATGTTCTCTCTCTCAGCCTGCTGCTGATCCCTCTTGTGCTGCCCTAAGAGTCCTGGTAACATAAACCCCATCAGCGACCCCGGCTGCTGCCTGTGTGCAGCATGGAGGGCCGGGCACAGGGGAAGCTCAGACTCGTGGCTCACCGATGAACCTCACGGCCTCCCGCCGCAGGGGCTCCTGCGGGCTCTGTAGGTAGAGCAGGCTCTGGCCCAGGTAGTCCTGCGCTGCGCTCTTCCTCCTCTCCACCAGCTGGAGAGAAAAGGGCACGGAGTCAGCGCGGAGCAGAACTGAGCCCGGCCTGGGCTGTGGGAACGCGCGTACCAGGCACTCGCCGATCTGCCAGAACTGCGCCACCTCTGCCAGCCGCTGCAGCCGCCTCCAGCGCAGGAACCGTGTGGCACCAAGGAAGGCTTTCTGGGAGGCCTGCCAAACGGCTGAGATGCCACTGCAGTCCGAGCAGAGGCAGAGCCCGCGATCCTCGCAGCCCCTCCGCAGGGGGGATGCAGCTGCAGGGCTGACGCTGCCGTGGGCTGCAGCACCCCTGTGTTTGGGGGGCACCGCAGGGGCAGCGCCGCCCTCCCCCAGATGAACACACTTCCCACCTTGGCCACGCTCTCTTCCTCGTCGTGCAGGTGCAGATACAGCGGGACCAGGCTCCTGTACACCTCCTTCCGCATCTTCCTCTTCTCTCTGCCCTCCACAAAGCTCAGCGTGTCGAGGAAGAGGTGCATGGAGAGCTGGCGCACCGTGCCGGACTCCTGCGAGGAGGAAGGAAGGAAGGATGTAAATGTCAGCTCCAAGTCTACTGTGAGCAGGGCCAGCTCTGCCAGCGTGGGGACACTGGGGTCACGGCCACATCCCTAGCAAGCTGGGCTCCCTGCTCCCCTTACGTCCTCAAAAAGCACTGGGAGATTGCCGGCCAGCTCCAGAGCCACGAGGCTGAGCTTCCCCCTCTCCAGGAGCCGCAGCAGAGTGCTGAGCACTGGCAGGGCCACGGCGCGGGCGCCGCTGTCTGCATCCTGCAGCTGCTCCATGATGCACGGCAGCAGGCCGAGCATTTTCCTCGCCTGCGGGAAAAACAGCCCAACAGAGACCATTGCTGGGGCAGAACGGCTCCAGCTGCAGCCTCCCTACTGGCTTGTCATCACGGCACGGTGCAGGCAGGCAGGGCGGTCCCACACAGCCCCGGGGCAGCAGGCAGCTGATGGGCAGAGAGCTGCTCCTGCTCACCGCGTCCGGCCTCTTGCTGAGCTCCAGGATGCTCCTGAGCACCAGCTGCTGCGTGCCCACACTCTGGCTCTGCAGACAGGTGTTGAAGAGGCTCACGACGCGGTGCAGCTCTTCACTGGGGTCCACGCCCTCCAGCATCTGCAACACACGCGGCTCTTAGTGCTGAGTCCTACCACCAGCTCGGGGCAAGGACAGCAGGGCACGGCCAGGCCTGGCCCCGAGGGAGGCAGCAGGGTTGCTGTGGAGGTCCCGCAGCCCCACGTTCACTGCTTCTGCAGCTGTTGCTCACCTCAACGAGGAAGACCATGGCCACCATCTCCCAGGAGCACAGCTTGGTGCTAAGCAGCTCAACCAGCTGATGGAAGATGGGGTCACGCAGAGCACCAGGCAGTTCCCTCATCACCCTGGCAGGGATGAGAAGGCACCATCAGCCCTGAGCCAGGCGGGCACAGCTCTCCTGGCCGTGCTCTGCTGCCACAGTGCCCCAGGGGCCACAGGCTGTGTGCTGTGGCAGCACTTTGTCTGAGAGCTGGGGACTCCCCATGACACCACAAGGAAGGGCTCTCACCTGGCCACCACCTGCACGCCCTGGAGGTGGGTGACGGTGCTGAGAAGCGCGTCCCAGCCCCCCTGCTCCTGGATGGCCTCCATCTGCCTCTGGAGGCCCACGCTGCAGAGCAGCACCTTCAAGGCCTGCACCGCGGACCTGCAGGTGGAGAAGGGTGCGAGTCGCATCGGGAGCCCCAGCACCGGGTCCTGGGTGCAGCGGGGGGACGGGGATGTGGCACCTGATGGGAGTGAGCTGGTGCTGCCGGTGCTCCTCCCAGAAGATCTCCACCTCCTGCAGTGTCAGCTCTGTGGTGAAGGACACTTGCAGGAGGAGGGCCAGGAAGAGCTGGGGGAAAATGGCCTCGGCCTCCTTCATGACAAGAGGCAGCTGGAGTATCTCAGGGATGGTCCTCGCTGCCTGCTGAAAGCACCCGGATGCTGTCTTTGTCCCATCCCCCAGGTTTCCAGCCCACCTCAAGAGGTGTGGGAATGGAGGGACAAATGGAGAGGGACACCCCCAGAGCACCAGGCAGGTCTAGGAGTGTGTTCCAGTGCCCCAGGGCAGAAACCAGGCTTGGGAGTGGACAGGGAAGGTTAGCGAGGACTCAGGCTGAGCTGGGTGAGTGAGGAACTCACAGCTAGGGCGAGGACACGTGGCCAGTCCTCGATGGATGGGGATGTGTGTCGCAGAGAATGGTTTGTGAGCACTTGGAGCAGCTCCTGCAGCACCTTCTCCACAGCTGAGGGCTCCGAGAGCATTTCCCTCCACATGGTGACGGTGACACTGCAGGTCCCCAGGGCTGTCAGCGTGGCTGCCCCCGCCTGGCTGACGGCCGTGGGGCGAGGAGGGGAGAGGAGCCCTGAGGGCCGTGGGCCCCGGACCTGGTGCAGGTGGGGGAGCAGCCCAGCAGGCTGCTAACCATCTCCCTCGGGTGTTTGCCGGCCAGCACGAGCAGGGCCCTGCCCAGGCTTTCGAGAGCCGGCTCAGCTTCGATGGAAGGCAGGCTGCCGTAGATCGTCTTCACAATCTTTCGCACCTGGAGGGGGACACGTGAGAATGGAAAGGCACCGGAGCAGGGCTCTGCTGCCGTCCCCTGTGCTGCCTGCTGGCCAAACGCGGTGCCAGGAATGGGGCAGAGCCCCGAGGGCGGGAGCTGTGGCAGCCGCAGGTTCCCACCTGCCCTGGAGGGAAGCGAGCCTCTGCTGCGAGCACGTCCACCATGTGGGCAGCCAGCTCGGTGCTGTGGAGGCTCGGCGCTGTCATGCTCTCAATGGCTGTGAGGAAGATGCTCACCCTTTCAGGGTACTGAAGGTATTTCAGGAACATCTGTGGGAGAAAGGGGAGGAGGGACGACTCATCCCCTGCAGGGCTGCTTGGCTGTGCGGGCGCCTCAGGAGAGCTGGGAGCAGGGGCTGGGCTGGGTGATGCCTGGGGTACAGAGTGTGAGGGCCCCACGGGCACCAGGGCTGCTCGGGGACAGTGCCTGCGCTCTTCCTGTCACTGCAGGCCTGGGTTCTCCTGTGGGCTCAGGGTTTGCTCTTTGTACCTCAAAGATATTTCTGGCTCGGTTCTCTTGGGAAATCTCCTGGTAGAGCAAAATTTGCTGGCACTCCCAAAGTTGTGAGTTCTTGGGATCCTTCTGCCACAGCCACATTCCTGTAGAGGAGCGGACACAATGTCAGTGAGGGGCCTGGGCTCCTGAGGGTCTGCAGGGACCTGGCCCAACACAACTCCTCTCACTCTGGGAGGTGATGAAAATGAAAAGCTGACGGATAGCCTTCATCGCCTCATCTCTGGTCCCCTCATCCTGTGCTGCAGCTCCATGGATGAGGTGTTCAGCCAGCTTCCCCAGCACAGGGAAGCGTTGGTTCTCTGTGCAGTGATGCCGGAGCACCACAGCTCCCATGAAGCAGGAGCACACCTGGGGAGAGAGGCAGCAGAGATGCACAGCTGAGCAGAGCAGCAGGGCCCAGCCCAGCTCTGTGCAAGCCTGGAGACAGGTGGGCTCCAGCTGGCTAGACAGGATGGGGTGCTGGAGCTGTGTGCTCCCTACCTTGGGCAAGGAGCAGGTGTTGCTGAAGGCGAGCAGCCTGCCAATGCACGCCACGGCCCTCTCCTCCACGGCTGCCAGCTGGCACGTGGTGAAGGGCAGCAGGAGCTGTGGAGAGAAAAGCTGCCGGTGTGCCCACAGCACGGGGCGCTCGTCCTTCTTCTTGCTCCCCAGCTGCAGTGGGGGTGGGTGTTTCATCCCTGTCCTGCTGCGGCCCCGCCGCCTTCCCGCCGATCCCCACCCACCCCTCTGACCCCACAAGGGCCGGTCTTGGGCCGGCACCCCTTGCCCGCAGCTGGCCCTGGGGAGATCTCGCGTGGATCCCCCTTTACGGCTTGAACCGTCGCCGCGAATCCCAGCCTTGCCGCAGCCAGACCTCCAAGATGTTCTGCAGCTCCATGAGGACAGAGGTGCCTGCGCTGCCCACCAGCCCCTGCAGCAGGCGGTGCAGGGCTTCCATGGTCTGCAAGGAGGACGGCGGTCAAGGCGGCCGTCCCTGCTGCGTCCTGCTGGCAGCAGAGCGGCATCCCGGCGGTGGTGCCCAGGACGCGTCCCCAGGGCCCAGCCCGTGCGCACCTCCGTGTAGAGCGCAGCGTCCAGGTCCTTCGCGTCCTCGTGGCGAGGGAGGCGGAGGACGCTGCTGAGGCAGGCACGCAGGAGGCCGCTCTTCCGCTCCTCCGGAAGCGGCCACGCGCTGCTGTAAGGGGAGAGAGGGCGGAGGCGCGATGCTCCGCTCGGCACCCTGCGCCCCGCTGCCTGCCCCGCTCAGGGCCCCCGGCCGTGACCGGTGCCACCACGCTGGCCGGCGCTGGGCTGGGCGGTACCTCATGGCGGCGACGGCGCTCATGGCCTGCTGCCGCAGCTCCGTGTCCAGGCGCTCGGCGGGCTCCTCCTGCAGCAGCGCCTGAGGGCACGGTGGGACGGGAAGGGACGGGACGGCGCGGCGCGCCCTGCTTGGCAGACGGAGCCCCGGCACCCCATCCCAGCACCCCTCCCAGCTCCTCGGGCTCCCCAGAGACCCCGCGGTGGGCAGGGCTGTGCCCACCGCCCGGCCCTGCGGTGCTCCCCTTACCTCAATGCACTGCGCCACCTCCAGAGGGCAGACGCACAGCCGGTAATGGGCACCGCAGTCCTCCGCTTCGCAGACAGCACGGACGGAGGCCAGAAAGCTCAGCTTCTGTGACTCTGTCTGAGACAGGGAGAGGAGTTACGGGTGCTGGCATCAGGGCACCAGCTGGGCACTGCCAGGCAGGGGCAGCCAGGGAAGCACAGAGTGCCTGCTACCTGGGGTCTGCGTGTGCAGCAGGCATGGATACAGCTCAGGGGATCCTCCTCCTGTGGTGACATGTCCGAGGCAGAAGGATGCTCACTTGAGCCTGAGAGTCCCTGCGGGGCTCTGGGGGTGCAGAGTGCCCCAGGCCTCTCCAACCTGGCTTTTTCAGGTTGGCTTGGGAGTCTCTGTTGCATCCTGCAGTGAGAGAACAGCGGCAGGTATGGCTGCTGCTCCAGCCTTTCCTTAATGTGGCAAGGCTCACAATGACAGAGCAGGGATGTTCCATCACTGTGCCCTGTCCCAGTCCCACTTAGGACCTGTCCTCTTGCCCAAAACCCCTCCAGCCCTGTGGGTCCCCCACACCACCCAGAAGTTCCAGTATGGGTCTGCAGATGCCCCTGCACATACCGAAGGACTCCCCCTGCCCTAGCTGCCCACAGCCTCCCTTCACACCCCGGCCTCTTGGTGCCAACCCCACTCTGGATTCCCAGATCTCAGTTCTGGTGCCAGGCAGGGCCCAGTCTGCAGAGAGTTGCTTGGCAGGCAGGCTCAGCTGGGCTTCTGCAGAACAGAGCAGCCTGGCAGCCTGCAGTAGCCCCACAGGGCCCAGCAGTGTCGGGGCACTGCTGTGCTGCCTGCCCTGCTGCCGTGCAGAGCATTCCCTTCTCCCCGCTGTGGCCTATGGCCATCCTTGACCCTAGGCAGTTTTGTCTGGAAGAGCGCTCGACTTCGCCCTGTGCCTGTGCCACAGCTGCAGTGTCTGGGTCTGCGAGTCCTGCTCGGGGCTCTCAGCCCATCTGTGGCTGCTGGGTGGTGGGGCACTGCTGAAAGCACTGCTGTCCCAAGCCCCTCTCAGGAGTGCAGCCATCTCCTCCTCATGCCAGCATTGGCGACAGGCAGTCCACCTTTGCTGAGCTCTGTGCCCGCACTGCACACAAGCTGTTTTCAAGCTGTGGACTAGTAAAATGCGATTAATAAAAGGGAAAATGACTGAGAAAGACAACTTTGTGTAATCTGTGGAACAGATCTCCAGCCTGAAACGGCTGAAGAGCTTTGCAATTCTCCTGCAATGATCTGTGAGGTACACAGATCTCCCGATAACATCGAAACACCCTGGAAAAGAGCCCGGCAGCATTTCCCTGCCTCACACTCACCTCCCAGCAGAGCTGAGAGCATAGCGCTGGCACTCAGAAATGCCACTCTGTCCGGCGGTCTTCTGGGAATCCATGGAAGTGGGAGAGCCTTCCCTGCGACTCCTCTTCACCCCTGTGGAGCAAGCAGTAGTGCAAAGGAGCAATGAGGTCTGCCACATCCTGCTGCAGCCCTCAGCCCCAGGTCCTGTCCAGTTCTGACCCCCTGTCCGAGCACACCAGGATTGCTGCGTCCACAGAAGCTCTTGGCAGGTATGTGCGAGCTTGTCTGGATGCACTTCTCTCCAGTTATTTGGTTGCTGAGTTCTGGCACTCTGCGGACGCAGTTCTGAGCGTTCCCTGATTTCTGTCCCTTCTGTGGTTCTTCTTTAGTGCCCTCCTCGTACCTCACCCTGCTTACAGGTTCAGCCACCCGTAACAATCCACCACCACGGGTGTGGGCAGTTTGGCTGCAGAATGGGAAGGTTCTGAGTCCCGCTCTCTGAACACATGTTCCTGTCCCTGGACTATTAATGCCACTGTTTGATGGTTCATAATCCTTTGGTAGTGTCTGAAAGGGAATGCTGCACAGTTCCCAAGGAGCTTCCAACATGTTTCTTATCACCTTAACTGCTTTCCTGATCTGTAAACAGCAGCTCTCAAAAACTAATTGCTCAGCCCATGGAATCCATTGTCCTTCTCCCCTCCCTGCCACAGCCCAGCTGCGCAGGTTGTGCTGGATTTGAGCACACAAGTCGCTCCTGGCCCAGGCTCCAGCCATACAGGGGAATGAGTTAACATGTTCATGTTGCTTCCCACTTTACGCAGACAGGCAGCCTAGCGATGATCTCTTTCATTCATGCAATTCCAATGCTCCCAATTGACCACTGAAGAAGCAGGGCTAGCTGTGCTATGAAGACCCTTTCCCAAACACAGGGTATGCCAGGATGGTAGAGCACAATGCGTTGTGTATCTTAAGTACATCAATCTCTGCCATTAGTACAGTTACTTTCATCTCTAACTGCTGCTGACAGGAGTGCAGTTGTGAAGCAACCATAGCAGAGAGGCTTCACTGAACCCAATAAGGGTTCCTGGTTTGTGGCTGTTCTGTAGCCATCCTGCACACATGTTCTGTTCTAAAGCCAGAGGGTCGTCCCCAGCAAACAAACTGAGGGTAGGATCCAACAACCTCAACCCCAGAGAGGAGCAAACACGGGGCAGAGCAGCAGCAGCTGCCAGGAGGCCTGAGTGCATGGGGCAGGCAGGGCTGGGCTCTTAACAAGCGCTCTTGACCAGAAAACAATGCCAAAAAAAGCAGAACTAGCTATAGACAAAAGCAAAAGCAGACATCGATCTCGCCCAGCTCTGTGTCCCAGCTGCTCCTGCAGTAGTGAGGCCACCCTGTCTCTTTGGAGTGGCAAAAATTGGGTTGAGTCTCCGTTAAGGACAAGCCAAGAACCACCTGCAATAAAGGCTGACCCTGTGGTGCCTTTTCCTTGCAGCTTCCAAAGCACTGCAGGGAACAGGGCAGTCCTGGCCAGCCACAAGGTTTATTTTCCACTAAGGAAGGTGAGGATGTGATTTTTTGCCCCATAATCTCCTCTTGCACGGAGCAAAATGTCCTGGGATGAAGAAAGACCACATGGGACACAAAAAGGGTCAATGCATTTTGAGTGGGTGGGTGGGGTGGGCGTGTTTGGCTCCCTGTTGCACCTGCAGTAATCAGCAGGCTGGGAAGGAGGGCTTAAAAAAGGAGAGAGTTGCCTCTGAGAGGTAGAGGGCTAGTTTCTCAGATTGGATTCAGAAGCATGCAGGTAGTAACGTGGTAATGCCTTCTTGTAAGGCTGTGCTTAGCTTGTTTAATGCTCCGTTTTCTCTACTGCCTCTCATCGTGGCAGAGCAGAAGAAGAAGGAAATTGCCTAACTTCCCAGTTGTTTTTTTTTTCCTTGAGGCTTGCTGGGAATTTGCTAATGGATTTTCACAGGTAAGTCAGTGGAGCTGCGGTTTTAGCTTTGCCCCTGTGAAGGGGGTGTCTGAGCTTTCTGTGCTCTGCAGGGGGGTTTACTGCTGATCTCATGGTCCTTGTAGGAGGTGGCTAAGCAGTGTGAGCCCTGATTGAGCGAGGATCCCTGCTGTGGGGATTGCCAGGAAAAGCTGGGTGACCTTTTCTAAGAGGAGATTGCATTTGTTCTTAAATTCCTTACTTGCATCATTGAATCTTCCCTGGACAGGTGTAGTTCAGAGCCTTGTGTGCAGAACTTGGACTGTTCCAGGCAATGATTACCTGTAACAAAACTCCCTGCTTTTTCTTCTCCAGTGTCTCATTCTCTCTGAGATCCATGGTATGTCCTTGGCCAAGCCTGAAGGGAAAGCTGGGGTTAATGGGGGCATGTCATTCTCCTGTGGCACCTTTCGCAGTGTTCTCACCTGTGGCATGGTAAATAGGTTTAGAAGATGTGTGGGAAGAGAATGCTGAGTGCCTACAGCAGGGCAGGTCTCCTTTTTAGGATGCTGAGCATCAGTGCAGCAGAGGTACTTGATGGACACTTTCATCTGGATGTGAAACCAAGGCCTGTCAACTCTGTGTGTTGGGATCTAATTTGGAGCTGTGAGCAGAAGGGCTGTGTAAGGTAGGACTTTGAGAGCACCCCTCCCAAAGCAGCTTGAAATGTTATAAACTGGGCTCTGCTGGACAAGAATGACATAGCCGTGTGCGGAAGTGCTTGTGGTTATGAGAGGCAATTAGGGCATGTCAATGAATAATGCATGTGCAGCTTAGGAAGGCTGGATGACATCTGTTTTATTTTTGCACCGTTAATTGAGAGTGACTGTAGGACAAAACAGAACAAAGGGAAGGTGGGGAGATTTGGGGCAGATCATTAGGAAGTGGATGCTCACCAGTAATGCTTCCTGTCCGTTAGGCTGTAAAAACCTCAGGAAGAGGTACTGTACAAACGACCTCAACAGCTCCTAATCCACGTAACTCACGGAACACAATTCAGACTGTCAGTGACACGGTCATTAACAGAGAGCAGAGGGTAAAGCCGTTGCTTGCAAATCTAATGGCCTTTCCTGCACTGATACAGTGGCTGCCTTGCACTTCTGAGGCTGAGTGTAGGTTGTGGGATATTCATCAGCTCTACTTGTGCTGGTGCCATGGGGTGCTGGACCCAGATGGAAAATGACCTGGTTCTGCTCATACTCACCATGATTCCGTGCATGAGAAGTCAGGTGGGAAATTATCTGCTTTATGGACCTTATGGATCTTCCCTTGGGTTCTCAAGAGCCAGAGGGACCATGTTGGCCCTGCGATTAGAGGAACTATGTCTGCCTGCAGCTGGGGCCTAGTGAAGGAACAGGAGCTGTGCTCTGCATCCCTCTACTTTGGTCTTCCCAAACATTCAGCTAGGGAAATTTCCCCATGT